CAGGGTTTCTCCATGTTGGCCAGGATGGTCTTGATCTCTTGACCTTGTGATCCTCCTACCTCGACCTCCCAAAGTGCTGGGATTACAGGCATGAGCCACCATGCCTGGGCTATGGATTTTTTTTTAGCGGCTCTGGGGCAGCCCCCAGAGCCATGTGAGCAAGGCACTAAAGGAATCAAATTGACCTTTTCCCTCTGGCGACTATAAGAAATAAAGGTGGAGAGAGCAGTGAGATGTTTGAGGCCAGGCCAGGGTGGGGGACTTGGAAGGGACACATGTCCAATGTCGAGGCGATATGGCAGAGATACGGTCATCAGAGTTTGCTGGTGGGTTGAAGGGTGAAAGGCTATTTCCCAAGTTCCAACCCCTCATTTACCCCAGCACTGTCCCCACCCACAGCCCCCCTGCCCTCTGTCCGGGCACCTGCTCTGTACCAGGCCCAGGAGGTCAGTCCTGCAGGGGACACACAGATAAATACCCATACCATGGCAGCAAGCACGGGCACCAGATAGGTCTAGAGTGTCGCAGGGATAGAGATAAGGGCAGTTGACCTGCAGGGAGCTAACTACCCAGAGCTGGAAGCTGGAAGCATGGGCAGCCAGCTGGAATGAATGGTGAAAGGTTAGGCTGTGAAGAGCAGGATAGGTTGGGGGAGTTGACAGGGACTTGCTCATGGCCTTCAGTGCCAGGCGGAGGCGCTGGAACTTTGTCCTGACAGCAGTAGGGAGCTACGGGAGGATTTATAGCAGGGAGGGTCATGACTGGAGTTTGAAAGAGCCCTTGGACTCCCAAGCAGAGGGTGGTTCTGTGCTGGGGCCCTGGAGGCTGGGAGCCCTCCAGTGGGGACAGACCCTCCACTCAGTAACCAACTGGTTTCTCTGGCCCCAGTGACTCCCGTGGACTGTGGTGGCAGCAGCAGTGGCAGCAGCAGCGGAGGTAGTGGGACATGGAGCCGCAGTGGACCCCCCAAGAAGGAAGAACTGGTCGGGGGCAAGAAGAAGGGACGAACGTGGGGGCCCAGTTCCACCCTGCAGAAGGAACGGGTGGGAGAGGAGAGGTGAGGCATGGTGGTGCCCGCCCTATGCCCAGGCCCCAGTTCCCAGGCTCCAGGCCACAGGACTGAGGTCTCCATCTCTCCCTGGTCCCCTGCAGGCTGAAGGGGCTGGGGGAAGGAAGCAAACAGTGGTCATCAAGCGCCCCCAACCTGGGCAAGTCCCCCAAACACACACCCATTGCCCCTGGCTTCGCCAGCCTCAATGAGATGGGTAAGAGATTGGGTGCTTGAAAGGGATGGGGGTTCCCTGGCCAAAGGGGTGAGCCTCCCGGAGCTGAGGGAAGAGCCTCCCAGATTTCACTGGGCCAGTGGGTGGGAGGCCTTTCTGGAAAAGGAGATGGTGGCCCCTGGGAGGTGGGAGGTAATTTCCAGGGGCAGGGAGCACCCTTCCCCAAAGCTCCTCAGGGAGGCAGATTCAAGAACCAGGCTTCTGGGTCTTGGTCTTACTGTTGGAGGGGTCCCCGTGGGGCCCTGGCCAACCCCTCAGCTGAGTGACAGGTGGCCCTCTCCTGTTGCAGAGGAGTTCGCTGAGGCAGAGGACGGAGGCAGCAGCGTGCCCCCTTCCCCCTACTCGACCCCATCCTACCTCTCAGTGCCGCTGCCCACCGAGCCCTCCCCGGGGGCGCGGGCGCCGTGGGAGCCGACACCGTCCGCGCCCCCCATTCGGTGGGGACACGGCGCCCGGCGGCGCTGCGACCTGGCGCTGCTAGGCTGCGCCACGCTGCTGGGGGCCGTAGGCCTGGGCGCTGACGTGGCTGAGGCGCGCGCAGCCTGTGACAGCGAGGAGCAGCGGCGCTGGCTAGACGGTCTGTTTTTCCCCCGCGCCGGCCGCTTCCCGCGGGGCCTCAGCCCGCCCGCGCGTTCCCACGGTCGCCACGACGATGCGGGCCTGGGCCTGGTGCCCTCGGTCACCCTCGTGTCGCTTTCATCCGTGTCCGACTGCAACTCGACGCGTTCACTGCTGCGCTCAGACAGTGACGAGGCCGCGCCGGCCGCGCCCTCCCCTCCACCCTCCCCGCCTGCTCCTACACCCTCACCCAGCGCCAACCCCCTGGTGGACCTGGAGCTGGAGAGCTTCAAGAAGGACCCTCGCCAGTCGCTCACGCCCACCCACGTCACGGCTGCACGCGCCGGCGCCGTGAGCCGCGGGCACCGGCGGACTCCATCGGACGGGGTGCTGGGGCAGCGGGGTCCTCCCGAGCCCGCGGCCCACGGCCCTGGTGAGTGAGGCACCCTGCACCCAGGCTGCAGAAAACCCTCTTCCCTTCTTTGCCAGGGTCACAAGTCCAGCCTAGCCACGACCCCTCAAGCTGCCGCCTGCTTCTTGTGGAGGAGGGAGGGTCTGTGTCCCTTTGCCCCTCACTTCGGGAGGCATTGGGGGCGTCCAGGGGACAGACACGGGTGGCAAACTGATGCCTACAAGGCCAGGTGGGTGCCTTTAACAATAGTGACCAGCATGGCCATCACCAGCTCTTACACAGCGCCTAGACACTGCTCTCCATCAGTTAACTGGGGTGGAGATGCCACCTTGGCGGTGTTATTCAGTACCTACCGTCAGGCACTGCTGCTTGTGTTAAATTATTTTACTTGCTCCTCACCTCTGTAATGAGGTGCCATGTTTATCCCCATTCAGAGGTAAGCCATGCCTGAAATCTGCCTGCATGAGCTTAGCCCAATGTACGAGAGTCAGGAAGACCAGGGTTTTGGTCCCAGGGCCCGCTAAGCAGCAGTTCCAGAAGGTTAAGGAGCATACTAGGCCGGGCGCGGTGGCTCACGCCTGTAGTCCTAGCACTTTGGGAGGCTGAGGTGGGTGGATCACCTGAGGTCAGGAGTTCAAGACCAGCCTGGCCATCATGGTGAAACCC